GCATTCAGCTTTTATGCTCCTTATATCTGGAACAAACTCCCAGAAAGCCTCAGATCAGCTGAAACACTCAGTTTATTTAAATCCAGGTTGAAGACTCACCTGTTCTCAGCTGCATTTGAATAAAACACCAAATCCACACTTTTAAGCTTAAATTTCAAAACTCACACTTTAACTACTGATTTTATCTACTGTTCCTTTTTAATCAATTTTAAATCATGCTTTTTATTTGTTTTTGTTTTTTAATGTCTCTGTGAAGCACTTTGAATCACCTTGTTGTTGATTTGTGCTGTATAAATAAACTTGCCATGTACCAGTATTTCCTGTAATACTGTGTCCCATCCCACAGATACACCTTTACACTACACTGTACCCTATGAGGACATCCAGACCACACAAGCTGTGATCAACAAGCTGCAGAAGTGAACTTTTAAATCAATGAACAGTTTGTCTCTATTCATGATCAGCTTCTTCTAGATGACTCTTTAAGTCAGTGTGTTGATGTTGATTTAGTCCATAGTGAAAACCTATTTCTGGTATTTCAGGTGGAGTCACAGAACTTTTGACTTACTTGTTAATCACACTTTAAAACACAGTGACTAAAAAAAGGAACAACGTATCAGAAAAAGGCAATACAACGCATGAAACAAGTTTCCAGTTTTCACCTCCTAGGACCGGGCGTCCACAAATGTGGTCATCATATTTTGGGTTGTCTAGACCAAAATACTACATTTTGCTCTACAAGGGCCTGATATCCACCTACGAGGACGTTATGCTGCTACCTCTCTATCAAATTTAAAACGAATGTCCTCATATGTGGATGTCAGGCCCTTGTAGAGCAAAATCAGGTTGTTTTTACATGCATCATGTCCCAATCAGCCCAAATAGCAAAGGGAAAATAAAAATGCATGAAATGAAAGAGTTCTTAGGAGGTTAATGTTGATGGTGTGCAAGCTTCAGATCGGGGGATCCACACGTTTATCTACAATGTCACACCTGAACAGACACAGGTCATTATGAGAAGTGGTCAATGGGAACATGCATTAAAAGTTTAATAACGATACTAAGGCGAAGACGAATTCTTCACCTGCGCCTGAGAACATCGTGACAAATACGCTGAAAAATACGATTTTATTTCCTCACTTTGATTTTGTCTATGGCACAAGGGCAGCACGGTGGCACAGTGGTTAGCACTGTTGCCTCACAGCAAGAAGGTCCTGAGTT